ATTATTATATTCTAATATTTTAATGAATTTTAATAAAATTAATTATAAAATTAGAAATAGCAAATAATTTTTTGACGACTAAATAAAATTAAAATCATAAGTAAAATAATAAAATTTAATAATATTTCAAAAATTAATTAGGCAATAACACTTAAATATTTTTTACTCTAATTCTATTTAAAATGAAAAGTTTAAAATAAAAAATGAATACATATGTAATTTTTATAATAAATCTTAGATTTTTATAAATAAATACTATTAATTTAAAATAAATACATTAAAAATTAATATAGACTTTACAAAATAAAATTTTCTATATTGTTTTTTTAAGTATTTACTGTTTTTTTTAAATATATACTTTTTATATTTCAAAATAAAAATTATTTTCTAAAATTTTTAATATGATACTTTTATTCAAACTATTATTTTAATTAATTTAAATCTATTAAACCTTTCGTTTTTTAAAATATTTATGCCTTTTTTTATTATTATTCATTGTTTTTTTATTATAAATAATTATTTCTTTTCTATTTATATTTTATATTATTATTAAATGGATTTAAAAATTAAATGACATTTAATTTTATTGGAAATTTTGTTTAATCATTTTAAAGATTATTAGGTTTGATATTTTTTAGCAAATCAGAATAACTTTCTTAACTTAAAATAAATTAAGATAAAGAATTTTATTATTTAAAATTAAACAGATTTTTATCATAAAATAATATATTTTCTTTATTAATCAATTATTTTTATTAAATATATTTTTGATTTTAATATTATTTATTTTATTAAGACTTTTACTATTAATTAAATTTAATTTTAAATGAATTAATATATAAATTATTAATATCTTATTTCTAGATATTTTGGTTAATTGTTTAAGTAGATTATTCATATTTTTTATTAATAAATTAAGATACTTTCTGTTTTATTATTTAATTTAAATTTTGACCATTTTTATAATATTTATAATTATTTTTATTATAGAACATTTAATTATGAATTATGTCTGTTTTTAATTGACATTCTAAATATGAAGTATTTAATGTATATTAACTTTTTCCGGTGTTTTAAGTTGTCAAATTTTTTTTCATATTCTTGTTTTAAGAAAGGGAATGTTTCCTTAACCTTTACTTGTCCATTATACCATTTTCGATTTTTTTAAACTTTATTTAATTTTAATTATATTCTTATTGTTAATTTTCATAATGAAAATCAAATAATGATATTTCTTTCCTTTTATTGTATAATTTTTATTCATAATCACTTTAGTCACTTATTTAAATTAAATTTTTTTTTGCCTTTTCTTCTAATTATATTTTCTCGTTATCTTTATTTTTCATAAAAATTAAAATTATTTTATATTTTTTATAATAACTACTTTAATTATAATTTAAAAATATGTGTAAAATCTAAATAATAAAAAATTTAAAAAAAATTAATATTTTAATTAAATTTTAAAATTTTAATATATTTAAATTATATAAAAAAACAGAATGGAAGATAGTTAAGAACTAGATGATAGTTTTTTAAATATTATAATAAATGAATAAGTTGAATTTTCATATAAAAATTAAACAATAAATTTCTAAAATAATCAATTAAATCTATAAAGCCAAAATAATGAAAATTAAATATCTTAAGTTTCTCCTATTATGCATAAAAATAACTAAGAAGTATCTAAGTTAATAGACATAACAAAAGGAATATCTTCTTAAAATAATGCAGAAAATTCATTTATATCCAATAAAAACAATAAAGTAAAATAAAGTTCACAAAAATATAACAATTAAATGATAAATAAATTTAAAAATGTAAAATAAAAAGCATCAAAAACTAATTTTTCAGTTAGTAGGATGAACTAAAATTCTAAATAATAATATTAATAAAGTAAATCTTCATAATAAAGGAAAATAATCAAATAAAATAATACAAAAATTTAAGCCAATGTGAATACACGACCTAAGACTAATTTAAATTTTAGTATAAATAAAGATACAAAAAATTCGAAATAACAAAAACTATCAAAATCAGTCGATTTAAAAAATGTGAAAAATATATAATTAATAAAAAAAAACAATTCGTATAATAATGACTTTTTTTTAATTTAAAATATTTAATTAAAATCAATGCAAGATTTATACGAATGCTAAAATAAAAAAAAAGATAATTATTAGTAAATATGTAAAAGAAAGCAACCATAAAATATTACAGCAAAAAATATACTAATTGAAAATAAAATTGATAAAATATTAACAAATATTCAATAAATTAATTCTGAAATTGATAAAATTAAACTTTATAATGATAATTTATATTAAGTTAATTAATATTTAAGATTATCTAAATTTAAAAAAACATTCATTAAAAATGATTTGAAAAATTTAATTAATATAATTATAATATATATATTTTTTAAAAATAATTTATGTTTATTTAAATTAATCTAAATTATATATTAATTTAAAACTTAAATTAAATAATTATTAAATAAATATTTTAAATTATTAAATATAATTTTATAATAAACACTTTTTTTATTTTGCAAATTACAATGGATTAAAACGAAAATCAATTATAAATCCAAAAATTAGAATTAAAAAGTTCCTCAAATTTATTAAATGAATAAAATTTATAAGAAAATTAACTTGATAATGATAAAGGTATAAAAAATGATTAAAGCATTTAATAATCTTCAAATGTATAAAAAAAAATAAAAAAAACAAAACTAATATATAATAAGGAAAATAATTAAAATCCAAATCATTTAATTTATTTACAAAAATTAGAAAATTAACATGATCTATTATTGTAAAATAAATAAAAAAAAAATATTGAAAAATAAAATAAAAAAAGATATGAATGTATACATCATGGAAAAAAAGAATTTTTACATGACAAAAGTGTTTAAAAAATTGAATAAATAGAAAAAAAAGACTAAAAAAAATGCCAAATAAATTATTATTGTGAAGAATGTAATGAATTTTGTTGCGAGTATTGTATACGATACGGTCCTCATAATAATGAGTTACATACAATAAATTTTTTAAATGATTATCGAAAAAAATATGAGAATTTTTTATCCAATTTTTTCAAAAACTAGGCAGAATTCAAATGTTCATAGTTATTTTAATAAATAAAAAATATTAATGAAAGAATGGAATTAATTTTAAGTCAAACTCAAGTCATTGAAAGAGACGCTAGTATTGAATTTTCACATATTTTATAAAGGCTTTAAATGGCAGAAGGCTAAAAAATATCTGCTTTATAAAATCATATAAAAAGAATATAAAGAGATGTTAATTAAATTGAAGATTCTACTGTTGCTTTTGAAAACTTAGCTTCAAAAAATGATCGAATACCTTTTTTATTGTTTTATAAGTCTTTAAATTATTATATAATGTAGTCTTTATGCATTAAATTTACAAGTTATTTAAATTTTCTTATTATTATTATTTTATCTTTTTTTAAATTTTAGAGGATATTATCGAATATCCTTTTAATTTACCTAGGGAGCTATCTAATATGAAAATATAGCTTGAAAACTTCTAAGCTAACGAATAAATATTAAAAATGAAAGATATGTTAATTTGGAAATTAAAAGTATAAAACGATTAAATAGCAAACTAAATAAGAGAACAACAATCGAAGTAATACCGTAAAAAGCTTGAAAAGTGGATAAAGTAAAATAAAATAAATATACTTAAATAACAAAAAAAAAAAAATTAAATTTTTTCCAATAAAAAATAAAAGACTTGCAGTTTCAACATTTGAGGACTTTGAAGATTTATAATTAATATGTCATTTTTGTGGAGAATTAATTAATTCAGAAATAATAAATGAAAATTGTTTTTAAAATAATATTATTTCTAAAAATACCCCCGATATATGTCTAATTATATATATATTATTTATTTGCTTATTTATATTTATTTTAATTTTAGCCAATGTTAAAACATATTCAGATGCTGTTGTAGAAAGAGCAATTTAAGGCTCTTAAAGACATTTTTGGGTTAAACCCCGCCAAAAAGATATTTAAATAAAACTAGGTATTTTTCCTGAAATTCCAAATGGAAGTAAAGGCAGAAAACTTAATAAGCATGTTGCTTATTTAAACTAATCTAAATTATTTTGTATTATTTTTATTTTTAATAAAAATAATAAAAAAAATTAAATATAAGCACTAATTTTATAAATGATTAAAAAATAAAAAACGGAAAAAGGATTGGACATAGTATAAACTTTTCAAAAATATGACACGGATTAAATAGGTATATATTTATTTAAAAGCAAAATTATTATAAATAATTTATATAATAAGGTTTTGTCAATATTATTTAATTTAAATACGTCCTTAACAATATCTTAGAACTTGATGAATAATATGTTAGTAGAATTGCTTATTTTCTTGAACCAAACGATTCTCTTTTTAAGTCAGAAGTTTTTGAACTTTATTATAAAAATCTCTTTAAACCGAATCTTATAAATTATAAATTTTTCGATTAAATTGTAGAAAATCATGAAATCCTAGAATATGAAGCATTTAAATTTGTAGATTACAATAATATACTAAGAAATAATCCATATTTTGTTACAATAGATACATAATAGCTTGAAAAGTTTCAAAAAGATAGTATTGAACTTTTAATGCAAACAAAAAGTTTAACATTATTTTTATATAGAATATATATTTATTTTTTAAATTTAATTAAAAGAAAAAGTGTCTCCACATAAAAATAAACTTCTGTAAACAGAAAGAAATATAGGATATAGATTATATAATTGACAAAAAATATTTTGTATCTATAAAATTATATATAAAAATTTATTACTTAATCAAAAAAAGAAAATAAAAATATAAACAAAAACATATATATTCTATATTTAAAAAATAAGAAAAAAGATAAAAAATATAAAAGTATAATTAATAAGTTTATATAAAAATATAATAATTTTTGTATCTATAATTATATTATAAATTAACTTTCTTGTACATTTCAATTAATTTCTTCTTCAATTTTATTTATACTTTATTTTATTTAATTATTTTATATATTAATTTAAGCTTATTTTTCTTCATCTTCATCTCTCTCTTCAACAATACTTTATTTATTTCTGAAATGTTCTTAAATAAAAAATAAAAAATAATATAATAATAATTAATTAAATACATCCAAATTATATTGTTTATTATTAATGTTAATTTTCGTTTTATTCAATTGAACTCGAATAGATATTATGTAAATCAATAGAGTTAATCATTTATTAATTAATTTAAACTGGTTATTTGAAATTAATAGTATTATCACCTGTAATAAAGGAATCTAAATTATCAGTAGCAGAAGGTTCATTAGCAACGTAAGGGATTCTTAAAGGTTTGGCGAATAAAGAATTTTATTTATTTCTAATTATGGAATAATCTTATAAATTATCACTAGAAGGTATCTTTTTCAGATAATTTTGTTGGAAATAGCTATGATTTAAGGCACACTCAGCTGAAATTCTTTATTTAGGATTTTTTTAAAGTAGCTTCATTAACAATTCTTTAGCCTCTATGGAAAGGTTTTCATATTCTTTTTTAGAAAAATCAATTTCACAATTTTTATTTTTATTCAAAACATCATTAAATTTTCTACCTGGAAAAACGGCTTCACCTGTCAACCTAATTATTCTTTAATAAAAAAAAAAATATATATACTTTTACAAAATATGGAAAATAACTCCAACAGAAAACATATCACAAATTACAGAATAACCTTGAGATTTATCTTTTAAATTTGCTATTTCAGGAGCTACAAATCCTGGAGTTCCACATTTAGGAAAAATATAAGGGAATTCATCTGCAAAAGTAGCTAAACCAAAATCAACTATTTTAAGAATTGATTGATTTTATTCTTTACAAAAAAGTAAATTTTCAGGTTTTATATCTCTATGCATTATATTTTTTTATGAGCAATAAGATATTCCATTCAATAGCATTCTTAAAATTTATTTTATTTCTTCATCTTTATATTATGATTGACTATGTAATTTAATTTCATCATATAATGAATTTCCTTCTACTATTTCCATTACAAAGTAAAAAGTATTTTCACCTTCAAAAACTTCATATAATTGTATTATTTAAGGATTATCTGTTAAGCTTCGCATTATTTTTAATTCATTATATAATGAAAGCTATTATTTATATTAAAAAAATAAACTAAAAAATTATATTTTTACTAATCCTTTTTCTGCTTATAAAAGTTTTTGTTTTTCAAAGCATTTTACAGCATATTTTTATTTGTACTAATATTTTTTGCTGAATAAACCTTTATTTTAATATTTATATATATTAAACATTATTATAATTATAATTTTATTTAAAACTTTTGCATAGTTCCCTTTTCCTAATTAGGCAATTACTTGATATTCATCTTAAAATCTTGCCTAAAATAATTTTTTCATCATAATAGATTTTAAATTAATTAATGATAATTATTAAGCATGATATTCATAAATATTTTATCCATCTAACAAATGAAATCCTGTTATTTCATAAGGAGTTTTATTTCTGTTATAATCCCATACGATTCTATTATTAGGCTTAAGTTCAATTACTAAATCGGGCTAACTTTTATATTATATCTATTGTTTTTTTTTTAAACATTTAGTTTTAATAAAAAATAAAAGTTATTATTATTTTTGTTTTTTTATTACATCATTTATTACTAAATAATCATTAAATATATATCCATATTTTATATTATTAATTTAATTGGAAACATCTTCTTAACTCATTAAAATAAGTTCGAAACAACATTTCGAATAATCTAGGCAATTGTTTACCATATAGTAATTGATGGATGTGTAACTTGGGAAAAAAACTTAGCCATTTATCTCAACTGGATTATAACACATACTTTTATGTTATAATATGTTGTCATTAAACATAAGAAAAGTAAATACCAAAATTATTTTTATATTTTAAAAATAAATAATATTAGATTAAAATATATTATTATTTATTTTCTAATATAAATATTTTATGACTTAAAATTAATTTTTTTTAATTATTCATGATTAGTATTTAATCAATTAAATATTTTTATTTCTAATTATAATATTAATTTTACTGATAATAATTTTTTACTTTAGTCAATTTTATTTTTGGACAATTATAAATATTGATTAATCGTTAGATAATTTACCTTCTCCTATATCTAAAATTACTAAATTAAAAAAAGTTAGATACTTTTTTTTTACAAAATTAAGAAATTTTATAAATTTTTTTAATACTAAATCTTACTTAACTTTTTTATTGAAATTAATTTTATCATATCATCTTATATTAAATATGTAACTTTATCATCAAATATATATTAAATTTATTTAATAATTTTTCTAAATATATTTTTTTTCTTATATTATTTAATTTCTATAACTTTAATATATAGCAAATAAAAAAAAAATTATCTTTTAAAGTGATTTTAATATATACTGATAGAATATAAGTTATAAAATTTTAAATATATTTGATTATAACTTTTGAAATTATATTAAAACTTTATAATCACCTACGTATTTCTATCAATAAAGATAATTTGAGAAATTTTATAGAAGATCATAAATGTTTTTTGATAATATATATTCACAAATATGCTTAAAATTTTATTTGATGCTAATTTAAAAATAAATCTTTTTTATTTTTAGTTTATTCAAAAAATTTTAGATAAAAATATTTATTCAATAAATTAAAAAAAAAATCACTATAATATTTTTTTATTATTTTTTATTAAAAATATATGTATTTAATAATATATATTTAAAAAGGCTAAAATTATTAAAATAAATTAAATATTGTAAAAAAATATATTATATAACTTCTTATTAATAGAAAAAATTAATGGGTAGGATATTATTTGGTTAATAATCCCTAAATATGGATGACAATTAGTGTTTTTTATACATCCGGAAATTTTATTTCCGCTGATAGAAGATTCCATCCACTCTATTTTTTTTCTCTAATAAACTTTAATTACTACATAATTATATTTTCTATAGTTTGTAAAAAATAATTAGTATTATATTAATTAATAAAAGTATAAAGTATAAATTATTATCAAAAAATTTCTCCAATTTTATTTATTATAATCTATATAATTTTATTTATTATAATATTTATTTTCTAATTAATTTAATTTTATAATCCTCAAAAATAATTTTGCAATTGATCTTTTAAATATTAGTTTTCTATTTTATAATTTCATATTTAATTAAATTTTTACATTATCAATTTTTGTGTTTATAAAGATTATACTAATTTAACAATATTATTTTTATAACTTTAATTGTTTTTCATTTAAAATTTTACAAATGAGCATTTAAATATATTTATTCTTTTTATCAAAGCCCCCTTTAATATTTAATAAATTAAAATATTTTTATTTATTGTGAGTAAAATTTAGGTAATATTTTTTTTACTTATATTTTTATTTTAAAGTAAATATTTATATAATAATTTTTATTTTACAAAATCTTTAAGCTTTGTGTTGTCGTTGTTTTTTTTTTTTTTATATATGCATTTTATAATTTTATTCCTATACATTTGAAATAATTATTAATATTTTTTATAATATATTTAAAAAAATTAATATTTTTATTTTTATTTTTATGTAAATGTTTTTTATTTTAATTTATACTTTTATTTAAAAGAATTATATTTTATTTTTAAATTACTTTTATTTAATAATATATCAAAAATGAATTAATTATTGATATTTTATTTTAATTTATTAATTTTTATTAAATGTTTTGTTTATCTTTTTCTTTCATTTATATATTTATAATTTCTCTTAATTTATTATTATTTATATATTAATTTTTATTCTTTATTTTCGATTTTTATCTTTCTTAATATTTTTTAAAGATTTTTAGTTTTTTAATTTTCACTTAATCTAATAAAGAGTAGTATTTCTTTTATCAAATATTTTTTTTTTTTTTATAATTTCTAACAAAAATATATTTATTTTGAAAATTAATTTTAATTTAAATACTTACATAATTTTTTAAATATATTGTTTTTCTTATTGATGAGCTATTATTTCATTAATAAATCAAAAAAGATTGAATAAAAATAATATAAGGCAGTTTTTCTATAAAAAACCTATTTCATTTAATTTTTTTTTTTTAATAATTAAATTTATCCCGTAAAATATTTGTTTATTTAAAACAATAATTATCAAACAGAAATTTTATAAATAAATTAAAAAAGAACTAAATCATTTTTATTTTTAATTTATTGATTTATTTATTTTTCACTTTTATTTATTATTTATTTTATTAATATTTTTTTCTTTTTTATTTAATTTATATATATTTTTGATAAAATTTCAATGTTAAAAAAAAACTATATTTTAAATTAAATACTTATTTAACTTGTTACATATATGATTATTAGATATATAATTCAAGTATTTTGATAATTATTTAATATATTTTTTTATATTGCTATAAAAAATATTTTTGTATTAAAAATATAATCTATTTACTATTAAAAATGACTTTGATTTTAATTTACAAATATAATATGAAGGTGTATACATTATATATTGATTTCAATAATTTTCATGTCATTATTTTTGAATAAAAACCAAAAAATATTTCAATAAAATTATATAATAAATAATAATTTCTTTTTAAAGCAATTTATTTCTGAATAAAAAAAAATTATCTTAAAAAACAAAAACATAGAAATAAAATAATATTTAAAAGATAAAATAAAAATAGTATGTAATAATATAAATCTTTAAAAATAAAATTATTAAAATATAAAAATAAATTGTGAATAAAATAATAGTAAATAAAATTAGAAAATAAAATAATATAAAATTAAATAAAAATATATAATATTAATATTTAAGTATTTAATAAATAAATAATTTACAATATTTTTTTTGCAGATATTTATTTTTTATATTAAATTCATAATATTGTTTATTCATATTGTGTAATTACTTTTCTAAAAAATTGAATCAAAAATATAAAAAATTCAAAAAAAAATGGATAAAGATATTTTGTTGGTTTTAAAATTAAATTTATATAAAAAATATGAGCAATTAAGTTTTAATTTTCATTGATTTAATTTTAATATAATTTAATGAATTTTTATATTATATATATAATTTTATTTTTCGACATTTAATTTTTTTTTTATAATATATAAATTATTAATATAATTTATCTAATTAAAATTATTTATATTTATTAATATTATTTATCTTTTAAAATATCTAAAAAGAATTTTAATATAAATAAAAAATTACGAAAATAAAAATGATTAAAAGAAGTTTAAAAAACTAAAAAAAAAAACTAAAGTTAATAAAAATATAAAGATAAAAAATTAATATATTTTATCAGCAATTAATAAATATTATTAATTAATTATAAATTGATATAAAGTAAATCATAAATTCTTTTTAAAATTATAAAAAAAAATTAAGAAACAATTCAAACTTTTATAAAGAATCTGAAACTTAAAATAGATTTACAAAAATTATATCTAAATCTTGAATAAACTATATTTAATTAGGTTTAAGTATTTTTTATGTTATTATCAAATTTGTATTTCTCTCTAAAAATATTATTTTCTAATGTCGTAAAGTTAATATCTGAGACTAAATTTATTTTCTGAAAAAGTAAAAAAAATATTGTCAGACTTTATAAAATACTAATCTTTAAATTATGCAATCTTCAAAGTATTTAAATAAAAATAAAAATCAATATTAAATATAATTGAATTTACAAGAAGTTATATAAAAAAGCATATATATAATATTTTTAATGTTAAATTTAAAACCAAAATATTCGATTCAAGAATGAAGAATGATTTATTTGATGTGTATTTATTATTTTAATAGTTTTTGGTAAATACTTGTCTAATAAATATTTATATTAGTAATATATTTAAATTATTAACATGTTTATTTGTTAAAAAAAATAAGAATACTTTAAATTGAATGGAAATATTTTCATTAGGACTGAGTTTATTGATAAAAAATATAAAAAAAAATTAAAATATAAATTATTATTATTCATATAATTATAATTAAATATTAGTTTATATAACTCTTAAATAATACATTTTATCTATACGTGGTATTTAATTTAAAAATCAAAATCAAAACCAAATATTTTTATTTTTTTATAAATTATACAACATTTTTAATTCTAACGCAAATATATGTTCCAAATCTTGAATATGAGCTTTTATAAAGTTTTTAGTAAAAATATATTCTTTTATTTTTTACAAGGTTGATAGTATAATTACTATTTTTTATATTATGAATTAATTTATTTTAAAATTAAAAATAGTATTTGTAATTCAATATTTAATATTAATAAAATTTATTGAAAATTTATTTAAAAAATAATTAAATAAAAAAAAATTAAATTTAAATATAAGGATTTATTTGTTTATGAAACAGTGTATATAATATACTTTATTTTTTTAAATTAATTTTTTTAATTTTTATGCAATATTTAATTTAGCATATGTTATATTAATTTAATTTGTATTAATTTGTTTTCAATTTAAATCCTATAAGTCTATTAAATCATTTTTATCATATTTATCTTATGTTTACACAATATTATGATAATATTATATATTTTACTAATCGTAATAATTATCTTCAAATTCTAATTATTCAGTTCCTATAGCAGGCTCATAAATAACTCCTTATTCACACTCATTTTGTTTTTCAATTTTATTAGAATTATTAAAACTAAACTAAAGCACATTATTATTGAAGTTATCATCTTTTAAATAAATAATAACAAATTCAAATTAATTTTAAATATTTTTTTACCTATATTTCTACAGTCGATTAATTTATTTTGAATATGTAAAACATATTTATCTATTTTCTATCCTAAATTATGTGTTACGTCATCTAATTTATCATTCATTTCATCTAAATATTTATAAAAATAATTTTCTACAATATCATTTATTTTGATTAACGTTTCAATTGAAAAGCCATTTTTTTAATTTTAATTTTCTTCATTTTAAATAGATTAAATATTTTCTTTTTTAAAAAAATAAAATAAATATATATATATAAATTATATAAAATATACATTATAACTTTCTTTTATCTAAGTCTAAATTAATTTCTCTTGATAAAGAAGTTATTTATTTTTAAGTAGATTTACAATATGAGTTGATTTATTTATAACTGTTAATATATTTTTACAAAAATTAAAACAAACAATATCTAATTTTTATTACTTATATTTTCTTTTTCTTTTTCTTTTTTTTAATTATCATAATAGTCTTTAAAATAAGTAAAAACATATAAATGGTCTCGAAAATCATCAATACAACCAGAACAACCATTTTTTATAAGATAATCACATGCAATTAATGTCTTTATTAAATTATTAAATTATACGAAATAATTTTTATTTTTTTTATCACTTTTATTAATTTATTCTCATTTTTTTCATTTTCTAAATTGTTAATCAGAATTTTTATGATTTTTATGTAATTGTTTCTGTTAATTTTTATAAAATTAACTATTTTTTTTTTTTTGAATTTTTACAAATCAAATGTTAATTAAACGAGTTCATCTAAACATTTAATTGGAACAAATATAGAATTTTACGAGTCTATAATTTAATTTATTAAAATTTGAATTGGATCATTATCTTTTAATTATAAACTGAATAATATGACTTTATTGTATAAATTTAAATATTTTTATATTATACATGCTGCTCATTTATTTTTTTATAGATTTAAGCAAATTCATATTTAAATATTTTAAAAATTATATAAATTAAAATTTTATAACAAAAAATTATTTATCTTTTATTCAACTAAATAATTTTAATAATGTTGGACAAAAAAATTAATTTTTTAAAAAATATTAAATACTACAAACTAATACTAGATTATAAAAAAATTAAAATTAATATTATTATTGATATACTTAAATCTTTTATTTTTTCTAATAAATAATATATTTTAATAAATAAATTAAAAAACCTTCAATATATTTAAATTTGTACTTATTTAATCTGTCTAACAATTAAATAAAAAAATACATATAATAATAAAAATTGAATTTTCTACAAATTGAATTGAAAATAATATAAATTTATATTATAATTAATTAGTAATTTTATTATTTATTTCCCAAAAAAAAATAAAAAATTGTAATTGCTTTTTATAATTTTATTTAAAAAAAAAAAACAAAAATATAAATAAATTACGAAATTATTAATAGTTTAATAATTTAAAGTTAATAATGAATATTTAAAACTTTATTTTTTATCTATGTTTTTTCATTATAATATATATTTTTTGATTAAATTTTATATAATAAAAAATTTATTAAATTTGTTTTTAAAATAATAAAAATTAATTTTTAAATTATAAAAATTATTTTAAAATTATATTTTTTTTATTAATAAATCATAATAATATTATTAATGCAATATTAATATATTAATCTATATATGAAATTATAATTCTTAATAATTATTTTTATTACTTTTATAATTTATTAAATTTAATTTTTGTAAAATATATATTTAATTTAAATTATTATCTAATTAATAATAAAGATTTTTATTCACCAAAAAAAAAAATATAAAAAATACATTATTATAATAATAAAAAAGTAAATAAAAAACCACAAGAAAATTAAAAATATAAAGTATAAATTTTTTTTTTTAAAAAAAAGAGAGAAAATATAATAAAAAGAAATGACTTTTTAAATCCTATTAAAAAGATAAAAAAATCAATTATTAAAAATTTATTTTAAAAATGCCTTCGCTTCAACTTCTAGACAATTTTATGTTATAAACCACTAATGATTTAAAATTTATTCAGCTTTTATTCGTTTTTCAGGATCAATTTAAAGCATTTCATTTATAAGGTCTTTAAAATCAATTGATAAACCTTTTATATTTCTTTTTTCTACATTTTCCCAAAAGAGTTATCTATTTTCTGTAAAAGTTTTAAAATAGTTATCATTTTCGATTACGGCTTTAACAAAAGGCGGTCTTCCACAAACTAAACAAAAGAGGAGAACTCCGGAAGCAAAAATATCAACACTTTTTGGACAGTAATGCTTTTTTTTATATAATTCTGGGGCCATATATCCTTCGGTTCCAATAATCCTATCAATTTTTTGTTCATCTTTAATTTAGATGGCGAATCCAAAATCGCTTATTTTAATATTAAAATTCTCATCTAACAAAATGTTTTCGAGTTTTATATCTCTATGAGCGAAATTATTTTAATGAATATACTTTAGTCCTTCAATTAATTATTTAAAGAAAAAGCAAGCCACTTTTTCTGAAAACTTCTATTTTACGACATATTTATATAATTCTCCTTTTTCCATATATTCAAATAAAATACTCTTTTCATCAAAGCATATCATTTTTATAATATTTTAATGTTAAAGTTATTAAAGTGCTTATATTTCCAAATTAAAATCAGCCTTTTGCGTAAAAGATATTTTAAGTATTTTTAAAGCATATATAATATTTTATTAGCTGTCTTTTGCAATTTTTACTCGGCATGTTTTTCCATATCCTATAGTTTTCAAAATTTGAAGATTTTATATATATTCACTTCTGAAATATTTAGATTCTTACATATTTTCTTACTTTTATTTTTATTTTTTTATATTTTTAATTTATGTAAATAAAGTTAAAAATTATAAATTTAATAAAAAAAAATTCACACATATGCACACACATATATATATATAAAATACAAATATTTAATTAAAAAAGTTTCTACTTAAGAATATTTAAATATAAAATAGATAAGACAATAATAATAAAATCATTCTAATTTTAAAACATTTTTATACTTAATCCAAAATTCATCTTTAATAATATCATCAAATAAAATTTAAATTATTTATTTTAATTTGCTTTTATCTTTAATATTATTATCTAATTAATGTTCATCTTCTTTAAGGTTTTATTATGTTACATGTTTTTATTTCAATTCATAATTTCTAATTAAACATGATCCTTTTCTGAATTAACTTTCTAAATTATTATAATTAATCCCAAATTAAGAAAAAAGAATTTCGTGTTTTTGTTCACTTACTGTATCTTTTAATATATTTTAAGCCTCTTAATTGGTTTTTCCTCCTATTAATACCATATTCCAAAAGCAAGTATTATAAAGATTATTTATATGGCAATCCACTTATCTCCATGATAAATAGTCTCTTAAATTTTTAAAATCAGGATAACAAACAGCTCTACCGTCAAACATAGGAATTTCATTACATTTTTATTCCATAATTAATTCGAAATTCATTACATATGCTGAAGTAAAACACGAAACTAAACAAGATATTATTTTGTCAGCTCTTCTTTAATATAGTTATGCACTTTTTGAAAATACAAAAGAAAATTCATCTGATTAACCATAAGCCAAACATATTTCTGCAAATGTTTTCATTACAACTTCTGCAGCTTTATTCATTAAATTTAATCCTTTTTTATCATTTGGCTTTTAAAAATTATTTGCCTATGTGAATTTAGTAAACCCTTTTCCATCAATACGAACTACAATATATGTATTTGGCATTAAAATAAGAGAGTTTTCAAATTTTTTTACGTATTCATATTAAGAACAAGCCATTTAATAAAATTATTTATAATCTTAAATATTTATATTTATTATTTTCTAATATATGTATATATGTTGCCTAAGTAAATTTTGATATATATATATTTATTAATATATAAATATATATAAACATATATAAAAATATATTTATATATATTTATTATATTTTAAATACTTTTATTTTTAATAAATTAAATTATTTGTAAAAGATTTATAATATGAAAAAATATTTTTTCAATATTTATAATTATAAAAAATAAGGAGCAACCCTATATGTATATATTATAATAAAAATTTTATATTTGAAATATTTAAATAAAATAAATAAATAAAAAACATATAAACTATAAGTATATATATATTTTTTAATTAAAAATTAAAGAAAAAATTAAAATAAATATAATGAAAAAATGATTTTAATAAAATCTTAAAAAAGAAGCAAAAATTAAAAAAAAATGAAAATTTATAAATAATAAGGAATAATAAAAATATAAATAAGAAATTTGCGATATATTTGTTTTTAAAGATATTAGATAAATTATTACAAAATAAAAATTGTAATAAAATTTTAAATATTATTATTACATTTTTAAAGAAAATTACTATTTATAAATAACTGGTATGTAACATAGTGAATTTTTTTAGCTAATTATGTGATTTTTATTGTTATACATGTAATTATATTCATATTCACGGTTGCTATTTAAAATATTTTAAAATATAGTATTGGTTTTATTTGTAAATTCTTTATTCCGAAATTTATAGGTGATTTATTAAAGATGGTTATGTGAATTAAAGTTATAATATTTTTTCTAATTAATAGGTTTCTGTTATTTATGTTTGAGGAATGTGTATTATATCTTATTTTTACCATTTTTTATTTTATTTTTTAATCTTTATTCATATTTATATTAGACTAAAATAATAATAACCCTATAATTTTTTATAATTATTTGTATTCAATTGTTTTTCTTTATTATTATATATATAATTTATATAAATAATTTAAATTTATTTTAGATATGTATCAAATAATATAACTAATTATTTGAAAATAAAAAACGAATAGAATATTGAAAGTTCTTATTGGGAAATAAAATCCATTGTTAGTTTAAATTTTTTTAAAAAAGTTAGAAGTTCTCTTGATTATTTTTTTAAATGAAATAAATATTCCTTTTATTTATTAATTATCTATAAATTTGGTAAAAATTAAATCAAAATATTCCCTTATTTAAAAAAATAAGTCAGATAAATTAACCTTTATTAAAGCTTATAAATTTTATGATTTAATTAGCGAAAAAATATTTTAAGTAAATAAACTTTTACTTTGAGTAAAATTGATCCTGTATACATTGAAGTGAAGAAAACTATCAATATCTTTAAAACAAAAATAAATTTGACTTTTATGAACATTTGTATGATTAAAACAGATTTCAAACTTTATTATAAAAATTACTCGTATTATGTATAAAGCAAATATGGAAAAAGCGATTGAATCATTGCTTAATAATATGCGAAATATTGTCGTTTCCAAATTTAAATTAACTATCAATATTTAAAATTAACTTAAAATGACATTTAAAAAAGAGACTAATTATAATACATTAGAGAATTATAAAATTATTTGATTGAAGAATGTATGTAAATAATTAGATAATATGAAATAATAAATATTTTAAAATAATTCTTAAATAAATTAAAAATTTTATTTAAACCAAGGAAATATTAATATATTGAGTAATCAAATGACAGATCTTATATATAAAAATAAGTTATTAGCTGATTTGTACTTAATTTATTTAATTATTATAAATGTAATTTCTTGCAAAAATTTTAAAACACTTACTTATGTTTCTAATTTTACGAATATAAAACCTTATTTGTCTTATACTTAGTGACTATTCTGCCTATGCTAACACATTTTTATAATAGCAAAAATTATATAATTAGGAGAGAATAGAAATCCTTATAAACTAAACTGATTTTCAATTTTTATGAAAATATTTTATTTAAAATATTATTTTAATTATTTAGAAAAATTAGCAGGAAGTATAAAATTTAAATATATTATTATTTTTTATTGTTAATAAAAAATTAAAACTTTTGGCTCTCTTTAAAAATAAAAATATAAAATTTATAAGTTTATGCAAAAAGCTAAGTTTAATTTTTTTTCTTAACTAATTATATGTTTTAATCTAAAAAAATATATAAAATAAGCCATCAATCAAATAGATTGTGAAGTAATCTATCTTTTTTAGCGATTTCTATATCATAAACCGAACATCTCTTCTCTTTGGTTTTAGTTTTTATTTCTGAATTTGCTAAAGTTCCTTAGACTCTTAATACTTATAGAATATCTATCTATTAATATTTTAATATATTAATTTTTAATTTAATATTAAAATCAAAATAGTAATAAAAATATAATAGCAAATTATAGAAATTAATACTATTCTGAAAATAATTTAGGATTTAAATTTAGAAATCTTAAATGTCTTAGAGTGATTATGTTTGTATAAGAAAATAAACATTTAAAAAAATATTTTGTAAAGAAAATATTATTTCATTTATTTGCTTTATTTCTTTTCATTAAAATATGTTTTTTAACTTTATATAATTATATAAATAAAGGCAATTTTAGGTTTTATATAATAAATAAATAGATTTAAAATCATAATAAATTTAACTATTAAAATAGTCAGATCAAAGTAATTAAAAAAAAAAATATTTATTTTTATTTTAATAATATATATCTATTATTAATAAGATTTAAATATAAATAAACATCAAAAAGCAGTAAATCCAAGTTCAGTAAGTTTTTTATATGCAGCAGAAAAATCTTAAAAAAACAAATTCTTATTATCCTTATATATTTAAGCATATTTTCTGAACTCAGGGTCATCTCTAATTTCCAAATCAGCTGGAAGCATCATGAGTTTTTTCGATTTATCTTCGTATTATTTAGGTCCATTCCATTTTTTTTCAGTCCAAGTGTTTTCTAATAATTCCTTAAAATATAAATTTGAAAATAAAGTTGGAGCATTAGTCCAAGGCCCATCATATCCACTTCTATCTGTGTGACATTTTCCAAGCGCATGGCCTCCTCCAATAAGAGCAACAATTTCTCTATCGTTTAAGCCCATTCTATAAAAAACATCTCTAATATGACTTCTTCCTTTAGATGCATTAGGTAAACGACCATTTTCAGGACAAGCAGATTCTAATGTAGCGTCTTTACGTCCTGGCGTAAAATCAATTTTAGGACCACCCATTTCTTCAATAGCTACATAGGATGCCAATATCCATAAATCAGCATATGTTATTTCGGGATTATTTTTCTTTATAGGATCTAAGAATTTTTATGCATTTAGCAACCCTGCGTTTGCTGGGTCATTTAATTCTTTAGTAAATCTCATCGTTGCACCGTTTGAACCACCTGTTTTATCAGATTTATCATATGTCCCAGAGGCGTGCCAACCTAATCTTACTAATATAGGGCCAATATGGTTATATCCATCCCATCCTTCAGGTCTTTCTAATTGATCAGCTATTTCTTATCTGATTTTGTTATAATCAATAGCTTTCACTTATACTTAAGTTGATAAATAATATTCTCTGTTTTAGTAAAGATAACTTCCTCCTCCTAATAAAAAAGCACTAACTAATAATTTTTACATTTTTTTACTTATGTTTTTTTTAATAGAATATTTTATTTAGTATTTTTATGTTTTAATTTAAAGTATAAATATTATTTTTATTTTTCTATATTATAAGCAATATTATTTATTTAATTTTTTTTATTTTTTCTTTACATTTTAATATTATATTAAATAATAAATAGTCCTAATAAATTTTCAAATAATTAAATATTTTTTTTAAGTTTCATAAATATATTAAATTCATAATATTATAAGTTAATTGAAATAAATAAATATATTACTTTTATATATTAAGAAGAGTGAAAATAATATTGATGAAAATCATCTTAAGTATTAAAAAGTTTGACTGAATAAAATAATAAGAAAAATTAAAAAATTAATTTAATATAAAAATGAAGAAAAATAAGAAAAAATAAATATAATTAATTTAATTAAAATTATTAAATATAATAATATATTTTTGTTAGAAAAACAATAATTATAAAAATTTTAATTACATTTAAAAATTTAAATCATAATAAAAATTAATATATAAAATAGTTTTTTAAATAAATTCAATAAATAAAATACTATTATTTTGAAAAAAAATATGAAGAAATTCTAAAAATTATATCAAATAAATAGAGAAAAAAATGAAATAATATTAAAAATTATAAAAAAGGTTATATAATAAATAAAAAATATATTTTATAATACAAATTTAAAAAATAAAAATTGAAATTATAAAAAATATAAAAATTAAAATTATATAAAAAATAAAAATAAATGAAAAAGAATAATAAAAATAAATATTCTATATAATTTCAATTAAAAAATAAAAATATAAATAAAATTTGAAAAAAAAAAAAATGTAAGACAAAAAAATAAGAAAATATTATAAATAAATTCCAAAATATATAAATAAATAAATAAATAAATATAATAATAAATAAATATATATTTATATATATATATATATAAATTATTATAAGTTGTAGCAATAATCTAAAAAAAATTATTTTAAACAAAAAGTCTAATATAAAACAATTTTTATTATTAAAGAAAACATGAATAAGAAAATTATATGATTTAATTTTTGTTTTATTTATTATTAAGACTAAGAATTAAGAAAAATTTCTTTTGAAAAATCTAAAGATGACCATAAAAAATATTATATTAGATTTAATTACTAAATAATTGCTTCAATAATTTAGATACGCTGTACTAAGTATAAAATTTGGAATATAAATTGTTTTCGAAAAAAATAGAAGAGTAATTTAATTCCTTATTTATTCAAATGTTTTTTTTTATGAACCCTTTATTTTAAAGGGCGATTTTTCTTATTTTTTTTATAGAATGTATAATGTATGAATAAAAAAATATAAAAATTAGATAACACTGACATTTAATTTATTTTATATTAATATTTATAACAATTTATAAAATATTCATAATATTTATGTTTCTTTTAAACAGTCATAGAGAAAGCCTTTATATTATTAAATAATTTGTATAAAATACGATATTTTATGTTTTAGTAAATAAATAAAAATTATTTATTGATTATATCGAAAAAAGAAATCATTTTAAAATGTCTTATATAGAATAAATTAAGTTTAAAAATAAATTATAAATTATAAAAAATTTAAATTAGATAATCATAATTTTATTAAAATAAATTTATTTATAATATAATATTATTTGATTATTAAATTAATTTCTAATCAAATTTAAATATAAAATTATCTTATTTAAAATCTTTTTATTTTCTGAAACAAATAATTTATTTATTTGAAATATTCTTTTATTAAATATTAATTTTTTAAATTTATTTAATAGATATTTTTTTTAATTTTTAATACATTTATTTGAAAATAAAAAATAAATTATTAATAAAATATTTAAAAAGAAATTTTTTTTTTTTCTAATTATAATGCTTATTTAACTTATAGCATTTTTATTAATATTGTAGAAAAGCTTTTTTCATGAAACAATAAACTCAGCAGATGATATATTTGATAATCATAATTACGATAATATAAAGGAAAATAAAGAATTTCTTTATATACATTTAATTCCTCATTCACATGATGACATGGGTTGGATTGAAACAGTCGATTAATATTTTATTAAATATGACGGTTTTTATATAAAAACTATCATTATTTATAAAAAATAATAGGTGTTTAAGATATCATAAATCATGTTATAGATGAGTTGGAAAAAAATAAAAATAGAAAATTTATACAAGTAGAAACAGGCTTTTTATATAAGTGGTGGTAGTAAGCAAGTGAATAAAGCTAAAATCGTTTAAAATAATTAGTAAAAAATAAATAATTTGTATTTATAAGTGGTGGATGGGTAATGCATGATGAGGCTACTTGCTATTATGAGGATATAATAGATCAAATGACATTAGGACACCAATGGCTAAAGAAGTAATTTGATGAAATCCCTACTATTGGTTGGTAAATTGATCCTTTTGGACATTCAAGTACAAATGCAATATTATTTAATAAATTTGGATTTAACGGATTATGGTTTGCAAGACTTCACTATGCTGAAAATGCATAGATGATGAGCCAAAAAAATTTAGAATTTATTTGGAAACCTGAATCAACAGAAAAAGATGATAGTAACAATATATTCGTTTCTATTAATTATTCACATTATAAAACTCCTACACCAGGTTTTATTATTATTTTTGTTTAAATATAATATTTATTTTTAATATTTATTAGATTTTAATTTTGAAAGAAATTATATATAAGTAAATAATGAAAATCTTAAAGCTAAAAGTGATATATTTGCTTAGTACTTCAGACATATGTCTGGTCATTATAATACTAATCATTTATTACATACTATGGGAGACGATTTCACTTATGGAAATGCTAGTAATTGGTATTAAAGTATGGATAAATTAATAGAGTATATAAATTCAAATAAATAAAAGTATAATATGGAAATTTTGTATTCTACCCCAGAATTATATTTGGAGAAAGTTAATTAGACAGAATTAAAGAAATAATTATACATACATAGTTAAGATTTCTTCCCTTATGCAGATAATTAATATTCTTATTGGACAGGTTATTTTACTTCTAGAATCGCATTTAAAGGTTACACTAGAAATTCAGGAAGATATTTATAACATGTAAGAAGTTTTCTTTATTTAGTCGAAATTTTAAAAAATTCTGATTTCTTAAATAAACACAATGAGCTTTTTAGATAAAAACTTTATTAATTTGAATAAGCTATGGCCGTAGCATAACACCATGATGCTGTTACTGGAACTGAAAAATAACATGTAGTAAATGATTATACAAAAACCTTACATAATAGCATTTCTTAATTAAATGAAGAAGTTTTGTATTTAGTTTTAAAAGAGTAGACTGAAAAAAGCTTTTAAGAAAAAGATATTAATTACTCGTAATGTTAATGGAATTCTACTTTTTGCTAAAACCTTTTTGATTATTTATCCAATAATTAAACGATTATATTTAATATTTATAATCCTACAGTCGAAAGAGATATTACTATTTAAATTAAAGTTCCTTAATCTGCTTCGTTTAGTATGCTTTCATCTAATAATAAATATATTAAAGGTAAAAGAATTTTTTTTTATAAATTAGTTTATTTATTTATAAAAGGTGAATTATTTTGTATTGAAGCGAGTCACTGTGATTTGTATTTTTTTGATAAGTTTTAAGCGTATTCTTCTTAATATTATAAATTGATTCCAAATGATATTACCTTAAAAATAGATAAAGTAAACTAAATTGAAATAAAAAATAATGAATAAAGAAGAATAGAAATATGGAAGGATAATTTCCTTGAAATAAATAAAAATAATGAATTTAATTTAAATGAATAAAATTATTTCAAAATAGACTATTAATATTATAAATCTTATTAGGATTTTGGTCAAAAATCAGGTGCATATATATTTAGACCTGCTGAAAGTATAAAATATCCTTATTCTGATTTTTAAAAAAAGGTTATATTTTATAAATCATTTATTATATAAATATATAATATTATATTAACTATTAAAGTATTTATATGATGGTTAATTTGTCACAATAATATATATGTAAAGTCCAAATGTAGATGTATAAATTAAAATATACAAACTATAAACTGATTATGATAAAAATGTTTTTGAATTAGAAACATATTTAAAGGAAATTCCGATTTCAGATTAATAAGGAAAAGAAGTTGTATTATTAATTAATACGAACTTAGTGAATAAAGATGTATTTTATACTGATTCAAATGGATTACATATATAAAAAAGAAAATTAAATAAATATTAAAGTGATTAAAAAGTCAGTAGCAATTATTATCCTGTAAATACAATACTTTATATTGAAGATGAGGAAAAAAAATAAAGAGTAGGATTAATAAATGATAGAGCTTAAGGAGGAACCTCTTTATTAAATGGATAATTAGAACTCATGATACATAGAAGGTAAAATCACTTTTTTTTTTTTTTTTTTTTTTTAAATAAATATTAAAAAAAGAATATTATAAGATGACTCTAGAGGTGTTGCATAAAATTTAAATGAATTAGATGAAGTGAAAAAATCATAAGGATTAGAATAAAGAATAAGACATTTTTTAGTTTTTTAGAGCGAAAAAGATATTTAAAATATAAATATTAACTTGATGAGAAAAATGCAGTTAAACTTTGAAATGAGCCCTTTAATATTTTATTCAGCATCTAATAGTTAATAATTTTAAAATAATAAAGAAAGTGAGAAGATAAATACACTTTTATAAAATAAAAATGAATATATTAAGATTTATATTCAAAAAGTAGATGATTTTAATGATTTGGATTAAATTTATTTGCTTAGATTATGTAATTTAAATGATAAGAATATATCATATTTTGAATTACAAAATAATATTTAAATTGTTAATCAAGTTACTTTAAATGCTAATCAAACAGTAGAAAATTGGGAATAAAAAAAATATCAATGGACAAAAGATTAATATATATATAAAAATACTAAATAATGGAAAAATTCTAATATAAGTAAATATAAAATTAGCATTTTTATATTATAATATTTTTTTATTTTATAAACTAGTAAATGGAAGAATTTTCATTCAACCTTTAGAATTATTAGCATTCAAAGTTAAAATATAAAATATTTGAAAAGATACATATGATATGTTTTATATTAATTTTATTAAAAATTACATAAAATTTAATTTTTTAAATTGCATTATTAAAAAATAAAAATAAAATAAAAATGTTTTAATAACAAAAAATTAGTCATATTTTTTTTAATGTAATAAAACCAAGATTTTCTAAACTGTTTTCTCCACTAAAAGTGACACTTATTTTACATTTATTTGGCAAATTAAGGAAATCAATAAGGGTGAGACCTGTAACATTTCCATTTGTGTGTTTAATATCTTTTAATTTACCAGAAGAATGATGAAGTACATAACTAGAAGTATTTACAGCCGACATTATAGGTTCCCCATTAATTAAAATCTATATAGTAGGTTTTTTTTTTGCAAAAAATGCTAAATATATTTAATAAAAGCCTCCATTTAGTACATTGATAGTAGTTTTTTCCCTTTCTAAACTAAAATTTTCAACGAAATAATTGCTAATTTCATTTTCCCAAGGTACGAATTGACCTATTTTTAATTCTCCAGATTTCCAAGCCAATTTAATGAGCATATTTTCAGCCGAATATTAAGAATTTAATAGATTTTAATTCATAAAACAGGTATTTACATCATCTTAAAAGGCTTTTTTTTCTAGCTCTTTATGTATTTATTAGAGGGCATTATTAACATCATTTATGCCTATTAATTTTTGGAATTATTTAAAGAGAGAAAAATATATAATAATATTATATATATATATATATATATATATATATATATATATATATATATATTTATAATTACTTGTTTTTGTATCTAAAATAGCGCAAAAATCCTTAATATTTCCCTTTTAAAGCAAATCTTTTTACATTTATTCTATTTGTCCTTATAATAGTTTAATTATTTACTCAAAATGTTTCGAATTGAGTTTATTTTCACATTCTTTATATGCTTTTTCACTTTTTATACGCAAATCTTCAACTTCTTATGCACTTACTTTAGTTGAAACAAGTGCCTGGATAGTATTCAAGTCTGCTTTTTCTTTCAATAATAATTAAACATCGCATAAGTTGGCTTTTTTATCTAGTATTTCAACATTTTCGTTCATATTCTGTAAAATTATTCCTTTTATTTCCTCTTGGAATTCCAAAAAGCGCTCAGACATATCCTGTTGACATTAGTTTAGGGCATTTTAGACTTCTGAAATATCTGTTTTTTAATCTAATATTTTATTCTAATTTGATAATGCTTCTAGAAATTCTGACTTTTCTAATTTTTGTAAAGAAATTTCCATAAGGGAAGATTTGAGAGTCTAAAGTTATTCGTTTTAGGCTTAAAATTAAACATTTGTATCATTTTTATAGGTTTTTAAAGAGCTTTTTAAATTTCCGGTGATTTCTGTTAAATCTTATGCTTAAGATTAAATATTATATAGATTTTGTTGAAAAGACTTTTAAATTTCTTCTTTTAAGAATTTATTTTATAGTTCAATTTTTTCTTATTTTTAAGAAAATGAATCTTCACAAGACTTTTTAAATAAAAGTAATTTTTTTTCGAATTCTTTTATATTATCTATTAAATTATTTTCAACTTATTTTAAAGAGTTTTAGACAGTTTAGTGTATTTTTTCAGAATTTTATTAGGTTTTAAAAAATGGCTTTTTCTAAAAGCTAAGAATCAGGCTTATTTTTAATTTAAAATGCTAAATTATCGAATTATGCTTAAATATGGGAGTTAGATAATTATTCCTATTTTTATTAAATCTATACATATTAATCAAAGTCTTTTTTTTCAAGCTTTTCTGAATATGTATTTCCTAAATAATTTTAAATGTCTTTTTTGTCTGCTTTTTAGTCAAGAATAGTTGCGAACTTTTCAAAATGTGTAAAATCTACTCTGCTTTCAATTATAGAGATTAAATTTTAAATATCATTTATATCTGCTTTTCTGGTCTTTTTTTGTTTGTTTTAATATATAAATAAATCTATTATTTATTTACATAATAATTATTCTGTATCATATTTATTAGCTTTTCTTTAAATAGCTAAATTTTATTTTTAAATTCTCTCTTCTATTTATGATCTCAAACTTTATATTTAAGATTAGTTTTTTTCAAAAAGCTAATCTTAAATTGTTTCTGTCCTTGAAATTATTTACATTATTTCATTATTTAAATCACTTATACTTTATTTATGTTCTTAATTGGAAGGCTTTTATTAAAGTGCAAAATTAATATCTTCCTTTAAAATGTTATATTCCTAATAAGATACTCGCTTTTCTATTTCATCTGTTAATTCTTCTAAACTTTATTTTACTATTTCTATGTTCGGTTTACAATCTAAATATTCTTACAGATTTACTAATTTTACCTATTATTTTATTATTTTTTAAAAAGACTTTTATTTTTACATTTTATATATTCTCCTTTTCTAAATCTCTTATTGCTTACGCTTGGTTTTTTACGACATCAGTTAAAGCTTTTATTGATAATTTTACAATATCTTAGGTATTCTTCCAATCACTTATATCCTATTTGTATATTTTTAGATTAATTCTATTAAATATTTATAAATTTTAACTTCAAGTAGATCTTCTACTATTGCAACTGAATAAGGATCTATTTGTGATTATTAAGTATTTTAAAACATTTTTTTTTAAAAAAAAATAAAAAATTTTTGTATAAAAATATATTGTATAAATTTTAAATAATAAAAAAATATATTTTTATTAAAATGCAACATAAATAAATAATTGTCATTATAAATGTTAATAATGTGAAATTAATAACTCCAAATAATGTGATAAAGAGTTTTAAATAAATAATTAAATTGGAATATGTTAATATTAATGTGATTAAAGGAAAGATTTTATAGATAAATTAAAAAATAATGCTTGGCAATGTTTAATAGATATATGGTTACAATTAATATTACTTTTTTTATTAAATACTAGTTGGTAATTGTTTAATTAGATAAATAATTATAATTAATATTACTTTTTTTATTATTACTGTAATTTTTAATAGGTTTCAATTAAACAAAATAAAAAAGACTATTAACGAATTATTTTTTAATTTTGAAAAATTTACTCTTTAATCAACTTGGTAATATAGAAGAAAAAAATAATAAAAAATACTAGTTTAAAGTATTTTTAACAAAAAATACAGGATAAAAATAAAAAAAACACTATGAACAAATAATATATATATAGAAATGTATTTAAATATCGAAGATTTGTATAATTCGGTTGGTTAGTTTTTTTTTAGATTCATTCGCAAATATTACAATAAGGTAAGAATTTCAGGAACTTCATTTACTTAAACAAACAAACAATTATCAAATTCTTTATAAATTTAGACTAGAAATGATTAAAAATATAATTATAATCTAGAAATGATTAAAAATATAATTATACACTAGAAATTATCAAAAATATAATTATACACTATAAATGATCAAAAATATAATTAATTATATACTAGAAATGATTAAAAATAAAATTATACACTAGAAATGATTAAAAATAAAATTATAAACTAGAAATGATTAAAAATAAAATTATACACTAGAAATGATCAAAAATATATAGGTTTTATCCAACAACATATTATATAGAAAGTTTATATTTGTACGGAAATGGAAGCTATTAAAATTTATAGTCTATTTCTTAAAAAGAACTTATTCTATGGAATTTATACAAAGGATAAGTATAAGATATTATTATGGTTTAAACGAAAAATAGATGTAATTAATTAAAAATATTTATTATATTGAATAAAATTATTTGCATATTGCTTTTCTTTAAAATGAAGGTAAATAGATAATTTATGAAAATACAAATCAATTCTTCTGAAAAAGATAAAGATGCATTTTAGTCCATAGCTGATTTACTTCTGCATTTTTTCAAATAAACGAAGTTATTTGTACATTCCGAATATGATAGATAAGTTATTATTTGGACGAATTCTGAAGAAGGAAAAAAAGTATTACTTGATAATGATATATATATATTTTATATATATATTTTATATATTTATATATATATATAGATATATATATATATATATATATATATATATATGATTTTTCTATATTACATAATTAAAACCGAATAAATTCTTATAATTTATATTACTTCTAATTACTCAGATAATGTAATACTTTCTTTATTTTGACTTAAGATGACAATTAAAAAAAGATTTAAAGCCGGCAAGAAACAATATATTTATTGATAATGATAAAAAGACAGAATAGAAAGTATAATTAGTCTATAAAATTTATAAATAAGTTTTATACAAGATTCCATTTATAAATATTTATTTGTAAAAGAATTATTAAGAATGAGATTATATTTCCTCTCTTTTTTAAAAAAAATAGTAAAAACACGAAAAAAAGGCAATATAAAATACATAGAAATCATTAAATTCTTAATATGAAAAAATAATTATTATACTATATTATATTATATTACATTCATAAAAATATTTAATTTAAAATAAAATCATATGCCAAAGGGATTATAAAACTGTCGAAAATTTCATAGACTTTATAATTGTGTCTTTACTTATTTTTTATAATATGAAGTTAATATTATTATATAAAACTTATTATTTTATTATAGTATTGCAAATATATTGATGCTAATTTTATATATTTTTTTTTTTGTAAATAAATAAATTAAATATTTATGTTAAAATAATTAAAAAAAAATAAATAAAAAATGTAAATAAATAATTCTTCATAAATATATAAATAAGGTCTTAAAAGAGAAAATATAATTTAATCATTAATTTGTTCAGATCATATGAAATCACTACTTTCACGAAACTCAAACTAAGTTTATAGACCTTGGAAAAACTCCTATAGTCCTTAAAATCCTCATTCACCATTTGGTGATTTTCCTAAAGAATATATATAGTCAATAAAACCTTCATAAAAATCTCCTTTTTGTAAAATAATTTAAAATAAATAAATAATAAAATAAAATAGAATTGAATAGCAATAATATTCTTAAAAATAATTCAAGCTCTTACACTTAGTCTTTATAAAAATAAAATAAAAATCCACCTAAGGCTGGTGCTACTTTACCACGTCCTATTTAACCTTCTCTATTTAGAAAATATTATGATAGAGGTGATCTACCTTTAAAGGTGGATCATAGTAATGGGATTAAAATTTAATGGAAAATACGCCCATAATAAATAGATTATCATCATTATTTACCTGTTTTTATTGATGGAATACGCGAAAAAGTAGATCCATATAGAATTTTAAGTATTTAGGGAACTTTAGATTTAATTTAATAATGTCCGGATAAATTGTTTGCTGTTATTCCTTAATTAATAATGCCAATAAAAAGTAAAGAAAAAAAAAAATGTTTTTAATTTTTAAAAAATCATTAAAAATAAAATAAAAAAGGTAATTTAAATACTAGAGATCCTGAAATTATTTGCATTATGTTAAGAATCTTATAATAATTAGTTTAATCAGAAAAAAAAGTAGGATAAGCATTGGTAATTACTTTTAATTTTTTTGTTATAATAAAATTATATTTTTAGGTACCTTATTATAGATAACTATTACCGATTCTAAATATTTTTAAAAGTAAAAACTTTAATACAGGAGATTAAATGGAATATTCTTAAAGAAAAAGTAATAATTTAGGAGAATTAATCTAAGAAACACTAGAAATATTTGAATAATATGGAGGTGAAGATGCTTATATTAATATTAAATATATGATTCCTACTTATGAAAGTTGTATATGTGCATGAAATAAATTTATATAATAATTAATTTTGATAAAATTATATTAATATTATTTTAAAGTAATGTATGGTTAAAAAATATATTATGATTAAAGATTAATATTTTAAATTAATATTATTTATAAATAATATTTTTATTTTTAAAAATATATTATTATTATTAAAAAAAAAAAGAAATAGAAAGAAGTAATTATGTATATATATAATATATATATATATATATATATATATATATATATATATATATATATATCTTTATATTATTCGTAAAAATTCATGAATCTTCATCTTCATCACTCTCCTCATATTCGTCTTCATCATATACTTCTTCGTTTTCACATTCCTTTTCTAGTTATATATCAATATCTTTGCATGCATTTTCATACAACTTTTCAAGTCTATATCCCTCATCTTTAGAATCAAATAGAATTTCAAAAGAATTAATAAATTTTTCCTTATCTATTTTTAATTTTCCGTGATCTAAATGTATATTTGGAGGAGGAAATAAAGGATCAATAGCTATTCTAACAGTATTTTCTATTAAATTATGAATTAATCTACTCATTAAATTGCAAGAAACTGTTAAGGAGGGATTTGTATTGATTTCAAGTAACTAAACATTTAAATTATCATCTAACATAAAATCATATCCAAATAATTCGAAAGAAAAAGATCTTTTTTTAGGGTCTATTTTAGTGAAAGCCGCACATATAGTTTCATTTGCAATATTTTTCATTTATTAAACAATATTAGAAAATGAATAATTTTTAATTTTTTTTAAATACTTTTCAAAATTGGAGAATGAAATTTTATTTCCTTTTTCAAATTTTCCAAAATTCCCAGACGCTTTTTTCTACACTGCTTCATTAGTTAAATGAATATATTTATTTTCAAGATTTTCCAAAGAAAATTCTAAAGAAGAAGTTCTTATATATCCTTCCTAGTACCAATAAGCTTTAAATAAATTATTATAATTAGTACATAGTACAAAACATCTAATATCGAATTTCCTTTTATTATAAAGTAATGTATTTTATATATATTTTTATATTATAAAAGTTTTTATATTGCCATTTGTATGCTTTTCTCGTCCCTTTATAAGTGTATTTATATCTCTTATATCTTCTAATACTTAAATTCCATTTCCTCTATTAGAACTTTCACCTGGCTTTATAATCCAAATATTATTTTCATTTTCTATTTCTCTTTATTTATATGTTTGTAAGAATTATTAGTATTGGATGTCGTTTTCACCATTTTATATATGAAATGTTAAAGGAATTTTTTGTTTTATCAAATTATGATTATCAATTAGAATATAATATTGTTTTAAATTATAAAATAAAGCTTTTTTATTTGATAAATGAAAGTTATGTTCAAAATGATTATGTATTTATTAAAATTTTAGTGTGTTTTTATTTATTATTATCTTTTTTTCACCTAATATTTTCTGAGTTATGCATTTTTTTAATTCTTCTGTTTCCCTTTAAGATAATATTTTAATTGATTTATCTAAATTATCTAAATTTAATTGCATTTCTTATATTTCTTGTCCAATTATTATTTCCTTATTTACTTTAATATTACACAGTTGTTTTAAAAAGGCAGGCTTTCTCCATTATGTCCATAATAAATTAATTTTTTAATCATCTTTATTGTCTGTTATTTACCACCAAGGCCTTTTTTTAAATATAGAACGTATTAATTATACATTATTTCCTTTCGAAATATATATTTTATATGGCTTAAAGACCTAGTTTTCGGTTTTTTCAATAAATATATTATTTGAAAAATTAAGAAAAAAACAAAAATCAATGAAAAAGCTTTAGTTTTTTTCAGTTTTTTTTATTGCCTTTAACTATATTTTGAATAATTATTTTTTTCCATTTTGATTTGTTTATGTATTAATTAATTATTCTTATTAATAAGTAAATTTTTAATTACATTCTGTTTTTTTTTAGCTATTTTAAGACAAAATTCTGTTTTAAGTTTAAGTTAATGTTTGGTTTCTTATTAAATTGCTTTTTAAGGAATAATTTTGTTTATTTATTTATTTTATCTCAACATTTTTTTAGTTTTATTGTATTTTCCTGTTTAAAATTTATATTAGTGGCCTTTAATATTATTAAGATTTTGAATCTTTTTAATTGTTCATAATTAATATTAGTGGTTTTTATTATTATTATGAAAATATTGGATCTTTTTAATTTTTAATTTATAAATTCAGATTATTTTATTATTATTTTTACTCTTACTAATTTGAAAATAAGTTCATCGTGTTTAAATTTTAACTTAATTATGACTTTTTTAAATAATTTCGAGAAAAAAACATTCTTAATATTTCTTCATTTATATCTAGTTTAATGAAATTAGATGAAATAGTTTTTAGTTCTATATTAGTGTTTTTACTTATTTTTAATGTATTTTTTTTATATAAAGGGCCCTTAATAGTATCTTAATAATTTAATTATGTTAATGATGGTTTTTTTGAATGTGAAGAATACTATTTCATTTTAAAATATAATTTATATGATATTTTAGCTTTTTTGTTTGTTTGTTTTATATATATAAAAAAATTAACAATTTTTAGTTATTAATATTTATTTAATTATTGTGTTTAAGTTTTATCAACAATTTTTTTTTTTTTCTATTTTTGATTTTAATATATAATTTTGTTTATAATTATTATTTATTTATAATTATAAGAATTATTTAAAAGTAACTTAAAGAAAACGAATTGTACGTATATTCATAAAAGTTAGAATCATTATAATTATATATTTTAGTTATTAATTAAAAAAAATAAAATATATATATAACAATGTTATTAATATGTTTTATTTATATATATATTATTATTTCAAATTTATATTAAAAATAAAACTTAATATAAAATAATTAGTATTATTGTTATTATGTATATAAATTTAACTATGAAAATTGTCGACTTTTTGTATTTGATAAGATCAATATATCAATATGAGTTTTTATAAGCCAGATTAAAACAATTAAAGTATTATTCTATTAAAAATTATATTAGATAAACCTTTGTTACTATATTCATTTCTTGAATTTATATTAATGCGAGAGAGAATTTCTATTTTTGTTTGTTAATTTTGTTGTTGAAAAATTATTAAAATTTATTAAAATTAATATTTATTTTAATATATAAAATTATTTTATGAATATTTATTTTTTTTGTTTGCTCAAAATCAGATTTACATAAAAATTAAATTGTCTAATCTTCTTCTTTTTTTTCTATAGTAAATTAAACTATTAATGTAACTCCTTTTTCTAAATGAATATATATATATATATTTTAAATGGTTATTTTTTTTTAACAAAAAAATTAGTTTAAAAAGTTAAAACTTTCAATTATAAATTTCGAACCTTTTAATTTATTTGTTTTTGGTTAAAATTAACTAAATACCCTTAGAGAAGTCGTTAAAAATTATTAAATCGTATATATTTTATACACTTTTAAAATTAGCATTTATTAAAAGGGTAAATTGTTCCTTATGTTTTTTAGCTTTTTTTTCTTTTCTTTTTTTAATATTCATTTATTTAATTTAAAAAGAAATATATTTTAATAACAAAAATATATAAATTATCAATTTGTTCTTTTTTATTTATGTAAATTTTCAATTTATTCTTTTTTATTTATGTAAATTTTATATTTATTCTTTTTTATTTATATAAATTTTCATTTTAATTTTTTATTTATGTAAATATTCTATTTAATCTTTTTTATTTATGTAAATTTTATATTTAATCTTTTTTATTTATGTAAATTTTATATTTAATCTTTTTTATTTATGTAAATTTTCTATTTATATTTTATTGTTTATATAAATTTTATATTTAATTTTTTTTGTTTATGTAAATTTTCAACTTAACCTTTTTTATTTATATAATTTTTCTATTTAATTTTTTTCTATTTATGTAAATTATTAATTTAATTTTTATTGTTTATGTAAATTATTAATTTAATATTTTTATTTTATATCTAATCTTTTTATTTATATAATTTATTAATTTAATCTTTTTATTTATATGAATTTTATTTTTAATCTTTTTTATTTATATAAATTATTAATTTATTAATTTAATCTTTTTATTTATATAAATTATTTATTTTATCTTTTTTATTTATGTAAATATTATATTTAATTTTTTTATTTATGTAAATATTATATTAATCTTTTTATTTTTGTAAATATTATATTTAATATTTTTTATTTATATAAAATATTATATTTAATCTTTTTTATTTATGTAAATTATTAATTAAATCATTTTTATTATTGTAAATTATTAGTTTAATCATTTTTATTTTTGTAAATTTTTTATTTAATCTTTATTACTTTTGTAAATTATTAATTTAAAATTTATTATTTATGTAAATTATTAATTTGCTCTTTTTATATATTTAAATTTTCTATTTATATTTTATTTTTTATGTAAATTTTGCATTTAATCTTTATTATTTATGTAAATTTTATATTATATTATTATTATATATGTAAATTATTAATTAGTTCTTTTTTATTTTTCTAAATTTTTAATTTGTTCTTTATTATATTTATGTTTACTTTTTCTTATTATTTGAATAATATAATAAAAATATTTTCATTGATTTTTTTTTGTTTTTTTTTTTTTTTTTTTCATATTGAATAGAAAAATTAAACTATTCTTGAAATTCTTTTTTTTTTTTAAAAAAAAAAAAAAAAAAAATTATAAAAATTGAAAATTTAAGAGGATATATTGTAAATTTTTCTTATATAAAACAATCAATAAGAAAAAGTGATTGCAGTTAATCCAGTTAACCAAGTTATTCAAAATTAAATATAGTTGCAAAAATTTAATACAATATTTACCTCTCAAATTTATAAGAAAATAGAGAAAATTAAAGATATATGGCAAGAACTAATAGATAATTTTGTTATAAAATCTTTCATAATATTAGGGCCATTAATATGTCAATATTTTTAATAAATTAAGTAGAAATTGATTGAAAATATTTATAATAAATAAGTAGAAATTAATTGAAAACCTTAATTAGATTGGTTTTTTTTGAAAATTATTCAAGAAATTGTTTTAAAACTATAAAACAATCCCGGCTTATAATGTAGTCAATGAATTTAAAAATCAAAAATTATTTTATTATAGCTATATTGGAGTGATTAATAATAGATTTAGTTATTATTTTAACTGCTTTATTATTTTTTGTAAAGAACAGAATACTTATTTTTATTTTTTTTGAGAATAGAAATCATAGAGGTTGATTTGTTAAAAAGAATTTGGTTTAAATTTTTAATAACTAACTTTTTTTTTTTTTTTTTTTTTAGTAATAATAAGGCTTTTTGTAAATCTTATATTACTATTAATGAAATGGAATTTATTAATTTATATTCAATATACATACTTTTATTTAAGTTGTTTATTTTAAGCTTTTTTATTAATTTCAAATAATTTAATATTGATTTATCTAATAATATTCCTTTATTATTGTCGTTTATTAATAATAATATTTATTATAATTAATATTTTAATTTTTGATTTAATTTAATTATTAAAATATATTACTTAAATATTAATTATTACTTTTATAATATACAATATACAAATAAATGCTTATATAATACTAATTTTTTAATATATAATATACAAATAATAACAATTATAGACATTCCTTTCCTTATTTTTTTATATATTATATTAATAATAAAACTTATATTTTAAAGGAAATTCATTAATTCAATCTTCTTGGGTAAATAGATATATTTTTAATTGCGATGCCATAACTTAAATAGGAAGGTTATAAAATTAAAAAATTATTATCAGTATTTTTTTATTCACAAATATTCTACCTTTTTTACATTACAAGTAGATTTTTATTGAACTAATCAGGAGAAACTCCTGCAATGTGTGTTCTTCTTTATTTAAGAATATTATTAATTTTAGTATTTTTTCGTTTGGAGTAATTTTTCTATTTGAATTTAAGAATTACTTTGTCGAAATTATTATGTGGAAAAAACTTCTAAAATATTTTTATTTAATCGAAAAAACATAATTCATCTTCTTAAATTTACACATTGTTTATTTTGTTGTCATTTAAACTTAATCCTAATTGTTTTTCTAAAAAAAACTGAATATTTTATTATAATTAAGGAGGTATTTAATAAAGTTAGTTTTATTAATTGATATATTGTTCATGAAATAATGAAGATATTGAGTTTTTCTAATTTTTCTTTTAATTATTTTATGATAGATTTTACAAAGAATCTCTTTTTTTTAAATTTGTGTTTAATTCAGCTATAAATATGTTTTTTTCAAGTTCTTTTTAATCTAATTTATGAAGTTTTGATATTACTTATAACAAATCGCTTTATGTTTTTTATATCTAATTTAATTATTGTTTTGTATCACTTATTTAATCAACTATTTATGTAGATATACTATTATTTTTTTTAAAATTATTATCAGTGTGGTATTAATATTAGGTTTTATTTAATTGTTTTCAAATATATCTTCATTACTTTTTTAACACTAAATCGATGGAATAGAATCGTTATTTTTGAGTATACTTTTAATAGAAAGTTAAGCCTATATAGAACGTTTTTTTTTCTTTGATTTTTATTTAATATATTTTTTTTAGTATTCTTCCTATTATTCTTCATTTTGGTATTAAACTTGTTTTGAATGCATAAAATTATATTGATTTTTTTATAATTACTAATATTTTTAACTTAAATATTTCTTTTTTAAAATTGATTAAGTTTATATATTTTTTTATGATAAATAGGAATTTTCTTTTATTTCTTTAGTTTTTAATTTTACTGTTTAAGAGTCTTAAGAATTTTCTATTTTTTCGTCTTGTAAAGATGAGGAAGAGGATTTATGATTATTTGAAGATTTCTAAGATGAAGAAGATGATTAGGAATTAGAAGTAATTTAATTTGTTTATTATGATGAACTTAAAGATGAAAAATTGTTTGCTTCATCAAAAAAAGTGAAATAGTTATCTTCTTCTTAGAAAAGATTGTATTATAGTTTTTATTAAATTAATTTATTTTTAGAAGCTGATATTCTTTTTTTTATATATAAAAAATAATTAAATACTAATATTTTATTTTTTATAAAAAAAAAAAAACTAATATTAATATACATTTTTTTTTATATAAAAAATGATTAAATATTAATATTATTTTACATTATTTTTTTTTAAAAAAAAGAGGAATTTAATATTAATGTTATTTTACATTTTTACATTTTATTTAAATATTATTAGTTTTATTTTACATTTTAATTAATTATTAATATTATTTAACATTTTTTTTATATAAAAAAAGAAATTAAATATTAATATTATTTTACATTTTAATTAAATATTAATATTTTATTTTAAATTTTTTATATAAAAAAAAAGAAATTAAATATTAATATTATTTACATTTTAATTAGATATTAATATTTTATTTTAAAATTTTTATATTAAAAGGTAATTTAATATTAATATTATTTTACATTTTTACATTTTAATTAAATATTATTATTATTTTATATTTTTTTATATAAAAAAAAGAAATTAAATATTGATATTATTAATATTTTAATAAAATGATAATATTATTTTACATTTAATTAAATATTAATATTAATTTGTATTTTTTTTATATAAAAAAAACAATTAAATATTAATATTATTTAAAATTTTTTTTATATAAAATAAGGAATTAAATATTAATATTATTTTATATTTTAATTAAATATTAATATTTTATTTTAAATTTTTTATATAAAAAAAAACAAATTTAATATTAATATTATTTTACATTTTAATTAAATATTAATATTAATTTATATTTTTTTCATATAAAAAAAGAAATACTAATATCTTATTTTTACATTTTTTTTTATAAAAAAAATTAATAATATAAAAATATTAATATTTAATTTTACTTTTTTTTTTTTTTTTTTTATAAAAAAATAATTAAATATTAATATTATTTTACATAGCACATTGCTTATTTTTAGTTTGTCTTTATTTGATTTTCCTTTATTGGAAAATAGAAAACTTTTCCCTCAAAATTAGAAATTAATCGTCAAAAAGTTAATGCACATTCGGACATTAAAAAGCCAAATGATTAAGTTTTCCACAAACATAACAATCTGTAGTTATAAAACTATAGTCTTATTGAAAAATAATTTATTCTTAGATCATTTTAAGTCTTTAAAAATCTTCTTAATTTTAATTTAAAATATCTAAAAATTCTTTTCTTTCTATTTTATATAAAGTTGATAAATTTACTGATCTTGCTGAGGCTTTTCTAGAAAGTCCTGAGAAAAAAGATAGTTCCCCAAAAAAGTTGTTTGATTATAATTTTTTAATAATAATTTCTTTTTTATCATTTATTTGATTTTAATAATATATTTCTATAATTCCATCATAAATAAAATATATTGACATATCATCTACTTCATTTTCTCTTAAAATAACTTCATTTGGAAGAGTTAAAACCTCTTTCATAGCAAAAACGAGTCTATTTATAGTTTTAATACTGAAATTTCTTGCAAATATTTAATAACTATTGATAATTTTGCAATTTATTTCCATTGTAATTTCATCTCGTAGTCCATTTGAAAGTTTTTAGAGTATTTCGTCTTCTGATTTTTTATTTCTGTTTTTTTATTCCTCGGCTAGAAATTATAGGTAATGTCTTACTCGACTTTTTATTTCATTATTTACTTTTTTTCTTTCTAGATAACTTTTTTTTTAATTTTTATGAAGTTTATTTTTTTATTTTTACTCACTTTTATATAGTATTTTAATTATCTTTTAATTCCTTCGAAGTCTTTTCGATTTCTTATAAAATCATCCCTATATTATTAATAGAGTAGGCAAATACACAACTTATTAAAATCATATTTATAGATGCAAAAAGTGCTTCGTATTGATTTGTTGGTGAAATATCCCCATATCCAACTTATTATTATTAATATTATTATTTTTTTTAAATAAATAAATAAAATACCTGTACACATAGTAGTTACAGACCAATAAAAAGAATAAATATATCGAACTTCCCAAGACATATATCTTATCGGAGTATCTAACATTTGGACTTTTTAAAGCCAGGATATATCGAAGTTATTTTAATGTTCAATTACTGCTACTCCATGCCAAGATATAGCTAATAAATGGGCCACAATGACTACTAGGATTATATTTTCGAAAAGCCTGATTAGGTGTTTGGCGTTATCTTTAAAAGTTATTAGGTTTTCGAAGTTACTTTTTTTTTGAACATGGAAAATACTTTGAAATATACCAGGGAGTTCCTTAAGTGGATTATGAGATAGTTTTGTGGGTTATATAGAATGGTTTATTCGGTAAATAAGAAATTTAAACCTAATAGAAGGGTACTTGTTATATCTAGGAAAAAATGAGATTTTAAATATTTTTTGGCTATTAGTTTTCTTTGGATTACTATTTGGTCTTTTAGAAAAAAAGCTGTGTTAAATGTAACTAATATATCAATTGAAAATATAAAGGAGGCAAAATTAAGTAAAATAGAGATATTTTAGAAGTTTAAAGATTATGAATAGTCAAAAAACATTAATATTGAGTAAAAAAATAAAAATATAAAGATAAATATGAAACTTATTATATCCCATATTAATTTAAATGTATTAGAAGGCATAAAAATAGGTACTTTTTTAAAGTATTTTATTATTGGGTATAGATTTTATTTTATATAAGTGTATATTTTTCGCGCTTTTTTCTTTTTTTGTAAACATAACTAATGTCATTTATATAATCAAAATCTTTTTGAATTAAATTGTCTAAAGGTTTCTTGTATGTCCTGTTTTGTAGTTATTTTATGAAAGTTTTGACTTGGTTATCTATTCTTTGTTTTCTACTTAAGGAATGCTATTATAAATTATTTATTATTGATATTCCTTTTTAAAAATTTGCATTTTATATGTCTTTTTTACTAAATAAATCAATGCTTTCATTGTTTTAGGATAATTTATTTAAAGTTTTTAATTGTTTTTTGTTTCTTAAAAATTATTCTAATAATTATATTATTATTTTTATTTACGTTATTAAGCCAAAATGGCATTTATTTTCATAATTTATTTTGTGCGAGTAATAATTATTTCGTTTTTAAAGCTTTTTTTTATTTTAGGTTTGACTTTTTATCTTTTTTTGTCGTATTTTATTAATCTTAATGTTCGCTAATTTAAGAAGTTTTTATAGTTAGAATCAACGGAAGATGTACAAAAAGAGTTCAATGTATGTGTTTTGATAACTTCATTATCAGTTTCTGGAATAGGGAATTAAAAATTAGTTTAATAAGATGTTTCTATAACTTTTTATTTATATTAATTATCCATATTAAAGATTATTTAATTTAAAAAAAAAATATCAAAAAACAATAAATAATAAATATTAATATATATATATATATAAATATTTAAACTAAAAAACATATATAAATTTTTAATAAAATAAACGATTTTGTAAATATATATATATATAAATATATATTTATATATATATATATATACATATATAACCTAATTTATTAAATGTAAATATAAAATTATAGTAATTTTAGTTTCTTTTTTTATATAAAAAAAATATTAATAAAAGCAATTAATTAAAAAAAAAAAAAAATATTATAATATTAAAATGCATCATTTAAAATAATTATAATAATAAAAACAAGAAGAAACTTATGAACATTAAGATAGTATATAGAATCAACAACCTGATAATGACTAAAAACATCATTTGAATTATCATTAAGGCAAATCTCCTTTATTAATAAAAACTGGTTAGAATTTATTAATTAATCAAATTAATTACTTTACATCTCCTGTAATAAATAATGTAATTACGAATTGTCTTTCTGAAATAAAACCAATGACATTATAATAAGATAACAATAAAGCTTTTTGTATAGGTGTTTGTGGAGGAAGTTCTGCTGGGAAAAGTATTATTTCAAATTTGATTAGTTAATCATTGAAAGAATTCAAATTAGTAGTTGCATCATTAAAGCAAACTGACTTTTATAAGAATCCTCCAAAAAATAATAAAAATGATGTCTTAAAAGAATATAATTTTGACTAACCTGATGCTGTAGACTGGAAACATATGAAAGAATCTTTAGAAACTTTAATTTAGAGAAAAGATATTCATATTCCTTAGTATGATATTAATTAATAAGAAAGAAAAAGTGAAACTTAACTTATGAAAAAGGCTGATGTTATTGTTGTGGAAGGTACACTTATTTATTGTTAGGAAGAAATTAGAAATTTTTTTGATTTGAAAATATTTTTAGATACAGATGAAGATATTAGATTAAGTAGAAGAAGTAAAATTATATATATATATTTATATATAGTTATAAATATAAATTAATATATATATATATATATATATAATAAAAAATATT